TGAGAGTGTGAGTCAACCTCCTTCCTGCACAGCGACAACTTTCTTCCGGTGTATTTTACCGTCCCACTCCATCCATGTCGCTATGGTATCTCTTACTGACTCAGATTAGCCGAATCTAACGGCTACTCTCATACTGTACTAAACATTCATTTTTATTATCGATATCCGCCTCTCCATAAGTACGAGTGGCTTTTGAATAGAGATTGTGCGAGGCGCGTGGTGACTGCCTGGGCGAGCGCACTAGTTCCCTCAGCGCAAGGTTTCGGTCTACGCAGCGGTTGTCTAGGGGAATTTTACACGCTGCGGGGGAAATCTCGGGGCAGCCTGCGTTGCTAGGGACGATAACTAATTAATTGCTATTTGAGTATTCAGCGTAGCACATTCTCTTGGCTGTATGAAGTTGTGAAGTTATCATCCTTTGCGTATGTATAACAGTAAAGTAAATAAGTGTCAATATTTCATAACCGCAGAAGGGCCAAAAACTTGTAACCCACATTTTCTTCAGAAACAATAAAGTATTTATTTTATGCATTGTTGATTACTTTCATTCTGATTGTTTTTATAATATTCGATATTTTAATTTTTAAAAACCATATCAACGCAAATGAAACGAAAAGTGAAGGAGATCCGTGTCAGAAATAAAGAGAACGAGAGAGCGACAACGGAATGGGTCGTGCCTAGGGAATTTTTCCGTCCGCGGGGGAACTTGTTAAATGGCGTTGTGTTGTTGGCCGAGTCACTTCGTGCTCTCCAATCCGTCTTCAATGACACAATGAGCAAAGGCATAAGGAACTTGGTGTCGAAACGAAAGAGAAGATTCAAAGAAGATGGGTACGACTTGGATCTTAGCTGTATCCTTTTTGTTTATAATGGCGTGAAGTGACGGCAAGAGACGAGTGTTAATAAGAGTGACAGAAGGCCAGAGTGGTGATGACAGGCCTCGGTAGGACCTGACTTTCCATTGCGAGTCGATTTCGTGTTCCACCCCTTCAGAAGTGGCATTGCTGACACGCCCGAGGAATACCTTGCGCCCGAGTGATCCTTGTGTGTGGAAAGAGGTCTTGGAGGGAGGAAGTGACAGTGATTTTAGAGGAGGACCGCTTAGCCTTGAGGAAGTGTTCCAAGAGTTTTGAAGTCCTTAGAGGAGAAGGATTTGGCTCCCTCGTCGTGATTCGGGCGTTGGAGTCCTCTGTCATCACGCCCTTGGCCCCGTGCGTGCTATTATCGTATTATTCTGCTTAATTATTACTAGTATTATGATAGTTTGATTATAATTTTTATTAGTACTCATACCCCATACTGTTTGATTATTGCAATTATTCATTGCTGTTATTATTGCATCACAGATATATTATTGCTGCTGCGTTATACGATTGTCGGTGTGTGTGGTGATAGTCATTTTGATTGTGAGTTTTGCGAGGAAAGTGAGTTGTGTGGTTCAGAGTGTCTTTAGTTGGGTGAGTGAGATGTCTATTTTTTTCTTTTTATTTGATAAGTGTATTTCGATTTGTGTTTGAGTCTGATTTGATGAAGTCAGTGTATTTTTGACCGTGCATCATGTGGCAGAGTGAACCGTTGTACAGTACATCTTGTGAATGCAAAATTTTGTGAGGCGAAATGTTTAAAATGATTAGAAATGTATGCAGTGTAATCATGGAAAAGAATTACGAAATGAAATGGTTTGCGAAAAGTTGAATGTATATGTTTATGGTGTAGTTGACAACAGTGGAAATGAGTGACATACTTATGAAAGTGGAGTGAAACGAGACCATACAGTTTTGATTTGAAAAATGAGGTCACCCGTAATTGTGTCTAATATAAGAGCGCAGTGAATGTTAACATGTAGTAAGTTTATCCAGTTTTTATTTTTTATTTGTTGAGTGGTCCTAGTGTCCATGATAGGAAATATATCATCTGAATTATGGCTATTTTCTTGAGTTTGATTATTGATAGACACCAAAGATTAAAACGAACAGAAAAGGGTTGTGAATTCTTACTGAAGTGTAGAACACATTGTTATCTTTTGCATTTGAGTAAAGCATGCATATAATTGATGCTTTTGATATGCTGTAACAGTATTTTCTCTGATAGTTTCTTATTGAGAGGGGGGAAGTTAACATAAGATATGTGATTTTTTAATTTACCTGAAAGATAGCTTACTATAAAAGGAATGGGTATATTGTTTCTGGAAATATCATATATTAATCTTTTCAGTTTGTTAGGTCGTTTGGAATTTGATTATGTATGTTTTTCTTATATATATAGTACTTTTAGAATGACAGTATTTAATTAAGGTCTATTCATCAACTAATTTCTTTTATGGTATTCTGTGGTATTTCTGTTTATGAGGAAGAAATAGAAAGAGAAAGAGAAAGAAAAGATTTAGGCCAGAATGCCTTGTGTGTATTAAGGTGTGGTAGGAAGGGTGTAGCTCCTAGTAAGGGATGGTGTCACCTGCTTTAAGATTTAAGATTGGTTTCAGGCAGTGTCGTGCTGCCTGTGGAGCTTGATCAATAATGGTGATCAGCACACCATGAATTTTACAGTACTTGTTTAGGGATCCATTTCCTGTTGGGACAGACAACTTTTATGAATATTGTATATTTTGGTGTTCTAATTTTTAAAGAGAAAAGAGACAGGCCCTAACTCATCTTAGTTCAGATTAAATGTTAATTCAGAGAGGTATTGTATTTTGATTTTCAAATAGCTTTCTCCATACTGGAAGATTTTGTTTCCTTGCACTGCCTTTGATAGTGGTATGGGAGTGTTATAAAGGATATGTTAATTAACACTAATTAAGGTAGTTGGCTGAGAGCAACCACAAGCAATGGCAATTAGTTCAGTTGTCATCTTCCTCGGGATTTATGATTGTTCGTGAAGTGGAACAGTATGCTTTAAGAGTATTTGATACACCTGAATATACTAGTAGTTTGGTTAGAGTTTAAGGATATCAGTGGAATAGCAATATACTCCAAACATGTTAAGGCACTTTGCTCAGGAACTTAATCTACTCCATGAAAGAAATGTAGTACTGGGCGAGATTTTGATATATTAGAGTTGATGATGATTTTTTTTTTAAATGTGTTGTATCAGTATTTCATAGGACTCTGGCACTGGAGTTGTTTTTACTACCACTACGATTATCATTATCAATATCAGTATCAGTACTATTATCATTACTATAAATATTACTATTACCATCATCACCACCACTGACACCATTTCCATTACCACTACCATTACCATCAATATAATCATCATCGTCATTATCATTTAAAGGAAAGGCACATTGGTAGTGGTATTGATGGCAATTGAAGGGATGGGAATGTTAGTGTTGGTAGAGGTAAAGACAGTACTAGTAAGAACAGTAGTAATATTATTACTTTTGCTAATGTTATTATTATTGATATCATCATCATTATCATCATCATTATCATAATCATTATCATAATCATTATCATAATTATTATCATCAATCATAATCATAATCATTATCATTATCCTCCTCCTCCTCCTCCTCCTCCTCCTCCTTCTCATCATCATCATCATCATCATCATCATCATCATCATCATCATCATCATTATCATTATCATTATCATCATTATCATTAGTAGTAGTAATAGTAGTAGTAGTAGCAGTAGTAGTAATAGTAATTAGATTAATGGGAATTATTTATTATTATATATATTATTATTATTATTATTATTATTATTATTATTATTATTATTATTATTAGTAGTAGTAGTAGTAGTAGTAGTAGTAGTAGTAGTAGTAATAGTAATAGTAGTACTAATAGTAGCAATAGTAATAGCAGTAGTAGTAGAAAAGGTGATGTTGGTTATAGTGTCGGCATTAATTAGAAGGAGAATGCATAGTGGCCAGTTCATGCCAAAAGGTAGAGATTATTAGATGTAACAAACTCATAACAACAATGATAGTAGTCTGCTATTGCTTCTCTTTCTAATTTTCATCAAAAAGGTGTGGATGATTATGATAAGGATGATATGAATGAAAATGAAATAAATGATTATGATGTTAATAATGATGATAATGGTGATGATGATGATAGTCATGATGATGACAGTAGTAAATAATAATAATAATTATAATAATGATGATGATGATAAAGATGATGATAGTAATGATAATAATACTAATGATGATAATAGTAATGATGATGATGATAGTAGTAGTGATAATATAGTAATGATATTGATAAGTTAGTTTGATAATAATGATAGTAAAAATGATTATGATAATGATAATGATAATAGTAATAGTACTTGTAATAGTAATGATAAGTATAATAGTAATGATAATGGTAATAGTAATTATGATATTAATGATAATGATAATACTAATTATAATGTTAATAATAATGGTAATGGTATGTGTAATAGTAGTGATATTAATGATATTAATGATATTAATTATAGTATAAGTAATAATACTAATAATCATAGTAAAGATAATAGTATTATCATGATTATTATGGTTATTATAATTTAAAAAATGATAATGCTATTAGTAATGATTTTTTTTGTGGAAAGGAAAACAATGATTATGAAGATGTTAATATTAATGATAATGATAGTAATATATGTAGAAATTATGGTGATCTAATGATGATGGTAATGATAAAAATAATGATGATAGTAATAATGAATATGTGATAATTGAAATCATAGAATTAATGATAGTGAGAATAGAGATGAAGTTATTGCAATAATGATTATAAATCAAAGGAAAGAGAATTATGTTATCTCTAATTATTCATGTTTTTGCATGCATAACTCATATTTTGTTTATAGTTGTTAGTCCCGTTTCTTAACGTTATTGCTATTGTTATTCATGGTTATGTTTGTGTGTATTAGGCATTATCATTTTGAACAATTTCATTATCACAGACATTATTAGCATCACAATTATAATGGTTATTATTAATGCTATTGTTTTATCATTATGTTCCTGTTACCATCATCACTCATCTTTTTGAATA